GTGCGTACGTATGTCTGTGTGTGTGCGTGTATGTGTGCATATGCGAATAATTATTGAAATATCAGTTGCTCGAAGGGTTCAGGGGATCTCGTAGTCGAGCAGTCTCTACTAGAGATTTCTTACTTGTTTAATTTAGTTTTGTCTATACACATTAACTAATACTGATATAAACTTACCATAGTTTTGTATTCTGGAGTACGTCGATCAAAGACTGTAATTGTTGACGAAATTGATCGCTGACTGTAGATTTGGATTTACTTGTACCCCGTTGGTTGGTTGAAACGTTAGGTATTAAATTAGAGCACGATTGATCCTTTATATAATGAAATAAAATTACGGTTGTTGTGAAGCGACGAGAAAAATAATCTCATTTAACTATTTAGTTTCCTATATAGTAGTATGTATTGTATTGTTGCCAGGATTACGAACTAGGAGATTATCTGAGGACCGATTCGTTTTTAAATATACGCAATACATTTAACACTGACTAATAAAATTTTTGCTTTTGCAAGTAATCTAAAACCTTCAAAATTAAATAACATACAAAATAAAATAAACCTGAGCATCACGAGAATTCAAACCTGATGATTATGTGCCGGCAATAATGATCCCACGGAGAGAAAAGCGAAAATTACCAACTATCACTATCTGTGTGCATTGTGAGCCATATTGAACTATTAAAAACTTCATCTAGAACAGAATTACGGTATTACAAAATTTGTATCTTATTCGCATACTTAAATACATAGTACATGAATAACAACATATGCAATACGTTGATTGTGGGAATTGGTGTATCTCCTAGTTGGGTATTTCCAACTTTAGCTTTATTTTGAAAAGTCCTTAAACGACATTTGTCGTTTTATTAAAAAAAAAAAAAAAACTTACCTGGCTTTTAGCAAGATCGCAAAGAAATGTGTGTTCACTACGACTCATATAATCAAAAAGAACATCTTGTTGCATATCTCGATTTTTATCAACAAATCCCTCTACTGAATAAATTACTTTTCCTGCGTAGTGTCTAATACCAAACTCTGTTTCCCAATGGCGACGATCTAAACCCTTTATGTACATAGGATTGTATTCGAATTCCGCATGCAGATTATTCAAATACGCTGAATCCGATCCCTTGGGCATGTGACATTGTTCAGTGAGAAGTTTGAATATGCACCGAGGAGGTTTTTCTATAAGCTCCAAGCATAATGAGTTATCTGTAAACTCAACGTGAGTATAATGTATATCTTCTTGCTTATACTAAAAAAGAGATTTAGATTTTAGTTACAATATTATCAGAATAAAAGTCTAGTATATGCGATACGAAAAATTAAAATTCGTTCATAATTGAGAACCAATTGATGAAAAAATAATTTAATATTATAATA